CTAGTTGTTTGATGTCGAGTTTGTCAAGTGGGAGAGTTTTCTTTTTTAGTAAAGTCAGATCCGTTAGTGTTGAACTCATACACACACTCACACACGCACACACAGACAATAAATTATCAACAGGAACAGTGTACCATGTGCTCCAGGAGAATTTGAAAGTATCAAGCTGTTTGACATGATTTAAACGTTACTCGCATTCCTCTATTGTTATGTCAGTGGTTTTTTTTTATTCTCGTGTTTGTAATTAGTGGAGCATTATATTTTGCCTTGTTGATTGGTACATTTAGTTCTTTCAAACTTTATCATTGATTAATTAAAAGTCGATAGTATACGAGTTAATAAAACTTCCAATGTGTTAATATTGTTAAAAGTGATTTTTAAACAAAGAAAGAGCATATCTATTTTTGTATCGCACGTAGTACAACTAGCGGTCAGTACTGGTACATTCCTAAAGGCCTATCAACCTCATTATGTCCCGACTCCCCTCCTTTGTATGACGGTCATGGCTGGCTTACACACTGGCACAACAATAGCAGGACAATGAACGTTCAGACGTCTAGAGTGTCACGGCGCTGTTTCCTACAGGGCTGTTGCACTCTGAACTTTGAACTCTTTACCGTGCATATTATACGACTGTATTGGTCCAATAGTGGGTGCCGCGCCTCCCCCTCCCCGCGTGGTCTATACAACACTGTATAGAACCGTCTGGCTGTTGTATTGGCGTAGAAAGATCAGGTCTAGAGACGTTAGGTAAGGGCCGTGTGAATGCCTGACAACTATAAACATTTGTTAACTCTATGCAACGGTTGACACCTTTTCTCTCTTTGATAATGGCAGCCGGGCTTTGTGGATCAATTACAGTGGTTCTCACACTGTTGATGTAAATAGTAGGTGTTAGGCCATGTGATGTAGGACCCTCACCATGAAATGATAGGGTTAAGTGACGCTTTCATTAAAAAACTCTTGTACTACAGTTAGTGGAAATATCCAGTGCCAGATGCATGACGAATGATGGTTTTCCATTACCTAAAGTTGGACTCAACTGGTTCTATTAATAGTGAGACATACGGCCTACTGGTGACTTTCTTAAAGGAGGACTTAACCTAGTTTAGTGCGTGTGAAGAGCCTCAGACCACTCTAACGAGCAAATATTAGCCTCATTAGGGACCGAATCAGATTTGGTTAATCAGTGATAATTGTTGGAAGATAAAATTTTAGCGATAAGACTGGAGGCGTAGTAGTTAGATGGATAATCTGTTGGTGTAGGGGTTGGATGGATAATCTGTCGGTGTAGGGGTTGGATGGATAATCTGTCGGTGTAGGGGTTGGATGGATAATCTGTCGGTGTAGGGGTTTAGTGAATAAATGTGTCGGTGTAGGGGTTGAATGAATGAGACTGTGGGGGTTGGGTGAATGGGTCTGTCGGTGTAGAGGTTGGGATTAAGCTTGTCGGTGTAGTAGTGGGGCGAATCATTTGTTGGTGTAGTTTGTTGTAATCTTATGATCAAACGGGCTGAAGAACTAATGGGAAACTACCCATACTGAAGTACCCTGCTTAAGTATACACGGTAGACGTAGCGCTGTCAGTTGCTTTTTAATGGAAGGTAACCAAAGGGCCTGATCCAAATCTTATGAATAAAAAAAAACAGATCGTATTGATTGTCGGTGTTTGGCTGATTTGTCTGAGCGTCCTGCTGGGTTATGGTGTAATGGTTGATATGATAGTTTGGTTGATCGTGTCACACCCGTCTATGTGTACCTCGATCATTTACATAATTGTATGGCGTGGGAATGGTATCAGTGCATGTCATGGCATTCTGACATTAGGAAATCGGTTCAACTTGACCTTTGATATAACGGCATACGTTCATGTTGACCTCTGATAAAATGTAATGGGAGGTATCTGAAATATAAAAGTCGATTTCTTGCAGTAAAATATATCCCCCCCCCCCAAAAAAAAACAAAAACAAAACAAAACAAAAAAAACAAACAAACAAAAACCAGTCGTTTTTATTTCAACCAAGTGCTAGTAATTTCCATTTGATCAACTAACACATTTGAATGTATTAAGGTGTGCAGTAATTGATACATGTACAATACGTACCGTACATTTACTGCAGGAGTTAAACAAGATAATAAAGTAAATTGTCAACATAGAGCTAGGGCTCGTAAAACCATGTAGTAGGAGAAATGTGACGAGGTCTGATTACACGTCACACCTCATATCAAAGGAGAGAAAGTTAACGCGACGGGACGAATTACTCGGCACACCTGACGTTCAAAGACAGAAAGCTAAGAGACTGTTATGATGTTTTAAAAAAAAAAGATTTAAGACAAAACATTCCATGTCCGTGTATGGAGGCGAGCACACAAACTGGCCTCTGATTTCTGACCGCTGGCCGCAGCTGTCAGTCCAACACTAGCTGAATTGTTGGGAGATTTCATGCTCTGTTTGAGTCAACAGATCAGTTTATGAAAGGAGGGTGTGTGGGTTAGTCGTGGAGTGTCTGGGTCAGTTGAGTGGTGGAGGGTGTGGGTCAGTGGAGTGTGTGGGTCAGTTGAGTGGTGGAGTGTGTGGGTCAGTTGTGTGATGGAGTGTGTGGGTTAGTCATGTAGGTGGGGTGTGTGGGTCAGTTGTGTGGTGGAGTGTGTGGGTCAGTTGCGTGGTGGAGTGTGTGGGTCAGTTGTGTGATGGAGTGTGTGGGTCAGTCATGTGATGGAGTGTGTGGGTCAGTTGTGTGATGGAGTGTGTGGGTCAGTCATGTGATGGAGTGTGGGTCAGTCATGTGATGGAGTGTGGGTCAGTCATGTGATGGAGTGTGGGTCAGTCATGTGATGGAGTGTGTGGGTCAGTCATGTGATGGAGTGTGTGGGTCAGTCGTGTGATGGAGTGTGTGGGTCAGTCGTGTGATGGAGTGTGTGGGTCAGTCGTGTGATGGAGTGTGTGGGTCAGTCGTGTGGTGGCGTGTGTGGGTCAGTCATGTGATGGAGTGTGTGGGTCAGTTGTGTGATGGAATATGTGCGTCAGTCAGTGATGTGATGGTGTGTGTGAGTCAGTATAATGATGGAATGGTGGGTCTGTCAAATTATACATGTATGGGATAAAGAACAGTTTTTTCCATGTTGTGGACGTTAAAAATTCCGTATCATGTTCATTTGAATTTTGTGACAATGGAAATAGTAGCTGATGGTCCGAGCAACAGTCTAATGTTTGTTGTGACGTCACACAAGTGAGGGGGATCACACGGAAATGTTTTTGGGCGAGTTATCTTTAGAAGTGTATTGATCCACTTGAATGTGACGTTTCGTGTACGAACTTTTCCTTTACCTGGGCACCGCAGGTATGTTATCTGTCCTGGTGTCTGGCGACGCTAGAACCGACACACGGCCTGTCCCGGGCCACCCATACCGTTTGGCCTCTAGGTCTAATGATACATGCTGATTTAGATAGCATGTCGAGTGGGCCACTAATTGTTGGCCGTGACTAATGGGGTTGGTCTAGAAGTTACAGCCCAATTGCGACGGCTGAGAACAGTGGCTGGATATGGATCTAGGTGGATTAACTGGTGAAAGGGTCGTGTTCAGGGTTAGTGTCAGGTAGAGGTTAATTGTGTTACCTCAAGCTTCAGTTAATTTCACCTTTTAAATGAAGGACATCAATGTGGGTCTGGACTATGAAAGTGTGTAACGTGTTTAGCCTACTATTTAGTTGTATCGAGGTGCGTTTGTTCTGGTATTTGTGTACGGCTATGGTGTGATTAATTAAACAAATGTATCGTAGTTTGAAGCCTTGAGGTGTAATACTTGGATATACAACACGATTAAATGTGTACATATTGATATTATAGTCATCATTATATTTTCAATTCAACAATTGAACCATAGTTGAGCGTCAATAAAAAAAAGTTTTGGGGAGTTAGTTTTATGTCTACGTTCTGTACAATCTGTGATATATACTGTGATGACATCAAGTTGATCGAAACGAATGTATTTTCCTCCTATACCTTTGTCGTGACAGTCCCATGTGTTGCCCACCTGTATTACCTGTCAGCTAGTAATCTTGTGTGGACATCCGTTTAATCACACCTGATGGCGGTTCTATAGATTACAATTTTGTTTTACATATGTAGAGTTGTAGGTAAAAATGATCGTCTTCAATTCAGTTTTCTGTTTTCTTATAACAGTCTCTCAATTTTCCTTTACATTGCGCAATGAATGACTATGTTTAAACAAACAAACAAACAAACAAACAAACAGGGAGTGATCTCCCCTAAACTTTCTTGAATATTCTTATATAACACTATGGGGGATGGCAACTCGGGATAAAGACAATATTTTAAATCCATTTTTAATTACTCAAACGTTTAAAATTATAATAATTGCGTAGAAAAAAGAATTGCGCACGAAGTGAACGCCAAACAAAATGTGTATAGTATTGCGGAATATTATTAGTACTTTATAAATTCACATGCGTTTTTGAGAAATTGGAAATAACGTAAATTACTACTTCCGGTCAATGGAAATTACTCAAAATTTGACAGAAGGCAGAGAATTAGATCTTTTACTTACGTGTGAAATTTCATTATCTATCTGAAATAGTACTCAAGTTATAGGCTTTTGAAAAATGCAAAGTAGAAAAAGTTCCACAACCGGTTATCGGAAATCGCTGAAAAGTTGATACAGATCTACAAATTTGATATAATGCTTTTTTTTTTTAAGATTCAAATTTAAAAAAAAAAATAAGTAAGAAAACAAACTTTTATTTACCAATGTCACTTTGTTACAAAGCCTTTAAATGTCTCACATTATTCATATCTTTTAGTGGTTTGATTATTTGTATTGTATGACACTGTATCAAACAAATGCACATTTTTGGGTCGAAACTTCAGTTGGTTGCTATTTTTATTACTTTGTGAAGCTTTTCTTTTTCATTTCTCGATTTCCCATAGTTTTATATCAAGGTTTATAGTCGAATTAATTTGTTCTCCGTTTTTTTCCAGGCTTCACAGGAGGGCAAGAAAAGGAGGTCTTTCCTCCCCTCCTTTAAGAAGTCTTCTGGTATATCGCCGCCTTCACCTCAAGCTCCTCCCAGCTCCAGCACCCCAGCTCTTCTATCCAACCTAAGCTCCGTGACGTCATTGACAAGCTCACCTATCGTTCAACTACCTCCAGTGACTGGTCGTGCCGCTCCATACAGCGATAGAGAGCAGCACCGGTCAGTGACTGCCCCATACAGTGATAGAGAGCAGCACCGGACAGTGACTGCCCCATACAGTGATAGAGAGCAGCACCGACCAGTGACTGCCCCATACAGCGATAGAGAGCAGCACCGGCCAGTGACTGCCCCATACAGCGATAGAGAGCAGCACCGACCAGTGACTGCCCCATACAGCGATAGAGAGCAGCACCGGCCAGTGACTGCCCCATACAGTGATAGAGAGCAGCACCGACCAGTGACTGCCCCATATAGCGATAGAGAGCAGCACCGACCAGTGACTGCCCCATACAGCGATAGAGAGCAGCACCGACCAGTGACTGCCCCATACAGCGATAGAGAGCAGCACCGGCCAGTGACTGCCCCATACAGCGATAGAGAGCAGCACCGGCCAGTCCAGCTGCCGAAGAAAGAAAAAGAAGAAAACTTGTCCTTTGGTGTCGGCCTCCGTGTCGGGGCTCGGGTTAAGATCGGCGGTATCAAGCCGGGGATACTACGATACCTCGGCACCACACACTTAGCGCCTGGGATTTTCTGTGGTATTGAGCTCTTCGATCCTGATGGTAACCACGATGGCGAGGTTAACGGACATCGATACTTCACCTGCGCCCCAAATTATGGGATATTTGCTCCGAAAGAAAAAGTGTGTCTTGAGACGGCCAGTGCACTAGGGAGGTTAGCGTCCGACTCGGAGGGCTGTTACAGCAGCTCCGAGAGCTTGCACGAGAGGACTAGCAAGGCGTTTAAATGCTACGAGGAAGGGGAGCTGGAAGCGATCGACTGCACCAAGCTGAGCCCCATCATCAGCCCGCAGGAGGTCGATGACGACGTGGTGACGCGGCAACACAGAGCGTCCAAGCTGCCCAGCAAGTCCAAGCTAGCCAGTGTTTACCGCGGTGCTGACTTGTCCCCCGAGCCACTTGAGCCGCCGGACCTAGAGGATATTCCACAGAAAAGGGCCAAGTCAGGCCTGCCCAGAGCCAGGTCAAGTCTGCCCGCCCCTCCCGTCTCACAGTCCAAGCTGCCGACGTTCTCACGGTCTTACGCCAAATACAGCGAGCCTCCCTCACTGTATGCTCGCACCATTACGTATTCGGGCCAGCCGTATGAGCAACAAATCCAAGAGTCGCTGAAGAAATCCCAGAACGCCCCTGTGTTGACAGACTCTGACGTTGACAGTGAGAGATACAAGACCGGAAGTGCCAGGTCGTCAGAAGACTCCGAGGAAGACGGGTTTGTCAGGGACACGCTCAGCAGAGGCATCAAGAAGCAGCTGCGAGCTGACAGCCGGCAGTACTTGAACTTTACCTTTGACCCGGAAGAAATCACCCAGTCGCAAGATGCAGACGACAGTGACGACAGCGATGTAGAAACGTACCGGGCGGCCAACCCCCCTAGCACCGTGAACCCTCTGTATGTGGACCCGCATTTCATTCGAGACATTTCAGGAGAATCTTCAGACGACGGTGTCCACTGTCAGCGAGCGTCGTCTCAGTCAGTGACGTTAGCGGAGCACAGCTCTTATCTTCCTAGTGAAGAGTTACCCACTGTGACCTCAGCTGTGTATTCTAGTCGAGTCCCAGGGGCGATCAGATCTGACAGTTACACGATAGGTGTGGCGAATGAGAGGCGAGTGATAAGTATGAGTTTTTCAGGTTCCGAGTCGGACGACGACGCGACGAGGCTATCAGCGACTCGGTCCATATCAGAGAGTGACTTGCCCCCAGAGATGCTGCCCCGTGTGGACGATGGTAGCCTGGGTGGGTTCCCGGCGGATAGCGATACAGGTGACGACGACCGGATTTCAGAAGGTGGGTATCGCATTGCTAATAACGGTGATGGCTGTAGTGGTGGCTTGCACCTTACCCGACCCCTAGACAGCCGAAAGGCTGAGAGTTGCATTGTTACACAAGCGCAGAGTGGCGTTGGCTTAAGTCAGTCCCAAAGTTACACCGTATGTAGTCAAGAGACGGACAACAAGAGAGACCACTCCAAGGTTGATAGGAGCGCCACGGCGTCTCAGAGCTATTCTATATCCAAGTCGAACTCGACCACGTCCTCGCCCTCGAAGAAATATCGGAAGATCTCGACGGGCAGCTCGGCTAATGACGGAGGTGATTCCTCGTCCAGTGGCACGGAGCCCAAGACAGATTCATCAGGTGAGGTCAAGGGCGAAAACCTAGACGACAGCTCGACTGGAGCCTCACCGGAAGTGTCGCAAGCCTTGGAGTGGGACTACGGGCAGGAGTTTGACGGCAAGATCCCGCTGAGCCAGCAGGACAACACCATGACGACATCAGCCAGCACAGGGACCTCCGAGTCGCTGAGCGATGTGTTACGCGACATCTCAGAACACAGTGACGGCCCCATCGAGCCAGAAGGCGCCTCCAGCGTTATAGACGACTCGGATCTCTTTGAAGCGCCCGATAACGAATTTGAGAACATTGACAGTCTGGAAGATTTTCCCATTTTCGGGAAAGACGCCAAGACAATAATGACAGATTCGGGAATTTCCGATAAAAGTTTCGAGTTCTGCCCCAACAAATCTTCATCGTCCACGGTGTGTGGGAATTCCTCAGACGAGTGCTCGCGCGAGGACGACGCCTCGTCTCACACGACCACCAGGGCCATCAGCTCCGACTCGTCCCAGGAAACCCTGGCAGCCGAGTGCGCCGCGGACACGCCTGGTTCCATAGAGGACAAGGACTTCCTGTCTGAGGACATCTGCCCCACGTCACAGGTAGCCAGCTATGACGACCTGAGCCGGATGGACTCGTTTGGAGACGACAACTCCAACTCACCCGCTTCGGTGGTATCCATGGAGGACGTCAGCGGCATGCACGACAAAACTTTGATGTCGGATGACGTCAGTGTCGACATGGACTCGGACAACAGGGACGGAAGTCGCGAGGATCTGCTGATGATGGCGGACACAGGCTTGGACACCGAGATGACCGCTCTGTCCCCGGGCGGGCGTATGGGTGGTGCGGACGGCAGGTCGCTTGGCCGGAGGGAGAGACCCATCTCGCTAATCTCAAGCACCAGCGCCGATACAGGTAGATATACGTATTGTCAGCAGCCGGCCGTTATGTGTTCAATGTCAAACCACCAGTTGTAGTGGACGTTCTATGTTCAATGTTCAGCAGGGAAATGAGAAGTCTAGATTTGATTTTTTTAGTTTTGCATGACGTGTTTTAGAGACGGCAGCTTGCGAGTCCCGCCCCTCCCCAACTTTTAAGTTCGCACATGCATTGGAGTCAGTTTTTATTTTTATATTGTTTTTTTTTCTGTTCTATTTTTTATTTTATTTTTTTATATTTACAAATTTTTGGCATCAACGGGTGCACATTTTACTAGGCATGTTTTGATATAGAAAAGGTTTTTAAAGAATTTTTTTTCAGAAATGCGAATGTTTTGTTTTAATTTTAAAATGAAATGAAAACCTTTTTAACAGCATGAGTGTAAGACAAGATCTAGTCATAGTGAATGTTTTAGAGTCAAGCATGGCGTGGTTTTACTACTGACAGAAGACTTCATACAAGTCGAAGACCCAATGGCGCATGTTAATTAACTGACAAATTAAATGACTTAAGCTAAAACCCGTCAGTAAAAAGTTGACGTTAACTGAACCGTCAGTAACTCTATGGCTTAAGCTGACGGACAGCTGACACGTTAGGACAGCCACTTGCTGTCAGCCTTGACCCAAAGGATGCGGGAGGGAGGTAGCAGCCAAAGTTTACTTAAACAATTCGTACCGTTTTGTCTACCGCATAGTCGGGTGACATACAATTACATTTACTTGAGTTTTAAATAGCAAGATGCAAAGAATAGTAAATTATGAATATATTTTCTACAACTAATAACTAAACAAAAGCAGATTATGTAATATTTGAGAGAATTTTTTTTTTCGTGTTATTGGTGTTGTGTAATGAATGTATTGATTAATGTATTGATGTGTTCATGGTTTTTGTTGTCAAACTGTTAACATTTATGCTCGTCTTGTCAAAATGTTTAACATTTAGCCATCTCTTTCTTATGCCACACCGCACACCACTCAAACTGTTTAACATTTAGGCTTGTCTTGTCAAAATGTTTAACATTTAGCCATCTCTTGTCTTATACCACACCGCACACCACTCAAACTGTTTAACATTTAGGCCTGTCTTGTCTTATACCACACCACACCACACAAACTTGTCAAACTGTTTAAAATTTAGGCCTGTCTTGTCAAACTGTTTAACATTTAAGCTTGTCTTGTCAAACTGTTTAACATTTAGGCCTGTCTTGTCTTATACCACACCAAACAAACTTTTAACATTCAGGTCTATTTTGTCTCTTACCACACCACGCCACCCAAACTTGTCACAATGTTTAACATTTAGCTATCTGTTGAGTACGTCATCAGTCAACAGCCACAATGTTTTAAAACACACAACATAAAAACTTACTTTCACTGAACTGTTTCACCCAGGTCTTTACTTTCTCTAAACAGTAACACCCACCTGTCTAACTGCTTCTGTTTCACCTACAGTGGTAAGGTCACATTTATAACTTTCAACACTAACTCAGCCATAGCATTATATCAACAATAACTTGCATTCTTATTCATGCATCTTCCCACACCGCCTACATCCAAATCTTAAGTATACAAATGAACTTCAGTCATTTCATAAACATTTTGATGTAATGTAACAACCAAAGCATGTCTAACCTTACTCTGATGTCTATCACTAAACCATCCACACACCTCTCAACAACTGTACCATGTACACGTGGTGTTGTTCTAGAAGGTTCTAACCCGATTTGTTACCCCACCCTCTGCAGGCTATGTGCCCGACACGGACTCGGAGCTTGGGACTCTGACAACCAACTCCCCCAACACGGACTGGGTTGATCGAAGGGGAGTAACCCACCCAACATCACACGCTCCCACAGAGAGGGGTGAGTTGTCTCTGCTCATCCATGCTTGATTTACATTGGATACCCTGTTATGGCATTATCGAAAGAGACTAAAATTAATTAAATATGTAATCCCACACTTTTATACACACGACACACATACACACACGGATACAGTTCATTAAACAGTTGTCAAGGTTTCACTTTAATTGTTTGCAGGTTTGCAACAAATGGACATCGACATGGACGACAAGGTATGTCGTAAATATTGTTTTTCTTATTAACATGGTAAAGAAATTGTTATAACTTTGATGCTTTCCTGTTGGGTCCGAAACAAAATAACGAAGTCTTCTCTAATAGTCATAGGCTTAGTTTCAGCTACCTGTTCTTTGAACTAAATCTTGCTCTAGTTTCATCTTCCCCCGGGGTGGGCCTGTCAGAGATGTACACACCTCTCATAAGTTACGTATCTGTCTGTACAGGGGTTTCAAGCACAACTCAGACATTTGTGTATCGATCTATTAAAAATTAGTTCAATGATGCTTAGAACTTAATGTTCAAGTATAAAAAAAAAGATGTGTGATACAAATCTGTTTACCATACTGCAACATGTGGAGTTGGTCAGGATAATTGTTGTTTTCTCATTCGGAAAATTAAAAACGTTCACCCGGAATGTACTTAACAAAATGTAGCAGTTTATACTTCTGTAGGCCGGCGCATCGATAAGCTGAAAGTTCTGACATTGATATTTTGTGTTACCCTATTCGAAACTGACGATCACTGGGGCAGATAGAGTAGAGTTTACCTGTTTCTGTATGCACGGCAAATTTAAGGTCAGATACCCATTCAGAGTTTAGTTCAGGAGCCTCTTTGAAAGAACCCGAAGCATGTCCGCCCTTCGAACGAAATAGAAAAGCATATTTTATGTAGAAAATATGTACTTGAACCAGTGTCCGCCCCCTCCCACCAAAATTTAAGTGCGCTTCCCCTGAAAGTTTCAAGTGCCCCCTCCCCCCTCTGGAGAAAAAAAATGTCTAAAATAAAAATTATACCCATTATAGTTAGGTGGACTCGGTTACGTACCACACAGACTTGAGTACTGGGTTGAGACTTAATGGTTAGTAGCCATGTGCTCTATCTCCCGACCATGTGTGGCTGTCCTGTGTACACGTTTAAACAAGAAACATATCTTATTGAGACCTTGTTCTATGGTGTGTGTATAATATCTGTGTCTCCATTGGTCCCCAGCTCTCAACCCCCAGCCTGACAGAGACCACCCCGACCTGCTCCGGTCACTCACTGGGCACCGCCAAGAACACCGAGGACGAGGACTACAACAGTGACCTGCAGACCAACACAGAAGATGACCGGATAGAGGCCGACCAGCTGTACGGACATGACGGGACGGGCAGCCTCACCCCCGAGCTGCCCCCTCCCACTGACATGGACGACCACGCCCACTCGTCTGGTGCTGACGACACCCACGACGTGTGTGGTGACTCGGCAGCTGGTTCTAGCCCCGCCCCCAACAGGGGCTCTAGTCCTAGAGAGGAGGACGATGGGAAAAGTTCTAAGAAAGACGACGCGGCCCAGCAGAGGACAGGCCGTCAGAAGAAGCCGATCACGATCACGAAAAAACGATCAGAAAATGTCGATCACAAAATGCCAAACATCAACGTTACGTCCAAGTTGGCGGACTACATCAAGGCGCCGACGCCAGTCAAACCCAGGGAGGAAAGAGAACCCAAGAAAGTCTTCAACAAAAACGCCAAAAATTTAATGCAGAAACGTGGGAACGAGAACAAGACGAAAGCGGAAATAAGCCGGGCGTCGTCTGTGGATAGTGTTGACCGGGAAAAAGTGGATAAACCCGAAAAACCGGAAAAACCCAAACCGATCATCAAACGGGAAAAGCCGAAGTCCAAATGGGACAACATCATGTCGCAGATTGAACAGAGCAAGGACACGACCAAACCGAAGCCAAAATCTGACATCAAAAGTTCTTTGGCTGCCTACCTCAGCACCCCACCCCCACAGCTTCCAACTGACAACAACGCCGTGGTGGGTGTGGTCAAGAACGACCAGCAGCCGCCCAAGAAAAGGGAGTTTGTCAAAAGGATCAAGCCGCTCCCCCCGCCGCCCCCTAAAATTGACCTGAGTAAGATCAAGAGCAAACTGAACGTGCCCACAGCGGCGTCTGCCGTCAAGGCGATGCCCAAGAGGGACGTGTCCCCCGGGCACGGTAAGGTCAAGAACCGGGTGTCCAGGGACAACTCCCCCGGGGGGAGCTCGGCCATGCTGCAGGACGGGCTGAAGAAGAGGATGTCGGACGGGCACATTGTCTTGTTGAGGCAGGAGCTGTCCACTACGGTCAGCTCAGTGAGGACCAGCCGCACCGACCTCAGTGGCTGTGTCAGCATGGAGAGTGTCGCCGACAGTAAAGGTGAGTACATCCGGTAGCTAGGCAGCTTTCTCAGCTTTAAATTTGTCACGTCACCAGCAGGCCCCCCATCTTTAATTCACGTGACCAGCAGGTCTCCCATCTAATTCACCACGTGACCAGCAGGTCTTCCATCTTTAGTTCACGTGACCATCAGTCCTAATACCGTATGTAGTTTTATGCCTAGTGTACTGCCTACTTAGCAGTTACAACCAACCTTTCAGCCTAGCTATACATTTTTTTGTCCTAGTTCAGCACCCAGGCATAGAATAATTTAACATTAAAAAGTCATCAGTTAACTAAACCTGTCGATGGAAGATTAAAGTTACTGATTGTTGTAACGGGACGCCAACGGTCCCCACCAGCTTGTTTATCTACTGTTTATGTTTCGGCTGGTTGGTGTTACATCTGTTAGATCCGAGGAGTGAAAGTGGTACTTTATTTTTCTTTTTACTTAAACAAGTCCATAGAAGTTTTGTGCCATTTGGTTTATACTGGCGCACCCCAGGGCATTGCTGTGATCTCAAAAGAAATTCAAGACACACTTTGTGATAACAATCAATTGTTAAAAATGATGTACTTTTAGAAGAGTTACGTAATTTTCTTTTACACATATATAGCTATAAATTGCAAAGATGCTTACTGCATCAGAAAAAAACCCACAGACCATCAGTGTACGTTAATCAACCTTCGCAAGGGTGAGGTAGAACGCCCCTCCTTGACTGCATCGTTGACGTTACTGGGCGCACCCGTGAGCCACCAGTTACATTACTGCAGAGCGCCGGGTACGACTTCCAGTTCGGTTTAGTCATTGGTTGTAATGACCTATCGTGTCAGTAGTGTCTTTAAAAGGATTGTAGGCGCCACAGTGCTCAACGGAAAGCCCGTGGGTCCTGCAGAAACCATCCCAGGAGTATCCTCATTAATTTACCACATGGCAATCGGATGAAAGGTGTAGTGATGCATACAAGACAGACAGACAGACAAACCTATACTTTCATTTTAATGGCTTTTATTACGTTCTCTAAGTATGTTTATGGCTCCGCAAATCTTGGAATATTTAATTAATGTAAACCACTCCCCATTGTCCGATTGAGCTGAAATTTGGAGCATTGGTAAATCTTGGATGACAATTCAAGAATATCTCATTTTAATATAATTTAAGTATTTTATTAGATTAATATTTTTATTTATATATTTATAAATAGGATACACATATTTTCACCTGGTACTGCTATGTTGGACGATTATGGTCAGGGCTTAGGCATACTTCAAGACTTATTGCCATCACGCAAAGACATATAACATACTTGTTATTTTAGTTTTAAAATAGTCTAACTGTCGGTTATTGATTGTTTGAGGTAATGGGGCGCCCATTCAGCCAAGTGTCGACTTACTTTCACAAGTCCGCTGTATAAAGTTTAAATTCTGCTTCCCCCTGTTTATACGGGCTGGCTAGACCTAGGCCTAGATTTACGGGGAAAAAAGTTTCATTGAGAAAATTACTAAAGAGAATTTACCCGTACTTCGTTTACCGTGAGAGCTGTCTCGTTCTGGACGCAACCTTTCAACTCTGACCCAATATTGTTAGCGTGTTGTTTAAAGAACAGCTGTTTAAAAAGCGAGACGCTCTAGGCAGTGGGGCCGCTAGTCAGAAACGCGAGCACTTCCTGACTGTGTTAGGATCTACTCCTTCATATTGGGGAGGTTTTTATTTCAAAAACTTTGTTAACAACTGTATTTCACTCCTGGTTATGTGGCTTTAGTTCTCATTGAGCCAAGTCAAACATGGGAGGTAGGTGCTCAGTTTTAAACTAGCTTTTTTTAAATTTATATTTTTTGTTTTTTAACAAGCGTTCTTTTTTTTTTGGCTTGACGCCGTTAAAATGTTCCATGTAGATAATTGGTTCGGTAAAACTAGATCTATATTTGTGTTGTAGTCAGGGCTTGCGCGCCCAGTCATTTATGTTAAGGGTCACTTTTTGCCTTTAGTTATCTTAGATTAGAGATCTTATCCCCCCCCCCCCTATCCCAACTGTAATCCCATAATGAGCCGTTATAAAAAAACTGAAAGTAAATTACGTTGAAGACAGTTTTGGGTGGGGTTGTGAATTGTGATGTGAAAGACCACAGGACCTCTTTGCTCCATACCAGTCTACCAATGTGGTTTAGCTCCATACTGCAGTGAGTATGATACTGGTCTACTGGTTTAACCGTTTATAGATGGTCTTGTAGCCGAGGATGATCGCACCGTGTTGTGTTATAATGTATGCGGTCTGTGTTTATTGACAGCTGATGGCAACTGCTGGGGGTGGTACATTGTGAGCACATAGCAATGCCAAGGTCCTTCCAATGAGTTACATTAGAGATATAGAGTGTTGTGATATAATGGTAGGGTGTCTAGTTTACATGTGGTCTTATGCTGGTACTTTATAGTGTAGACCTACCCTCACGTAAACCTAACCCTAACGTAGTACCCAACAATACCTCCACACCTGTATTAGGCCGCGTTGCTAGTGACATACATTTATTTTATTATTTAAACTTATATATCCGAGTTAAATGTTATATAGTATAACAAGTGGCATTTCATCACGAAGCTAAATTTACCTGAACAAAACTACCCTTATTTAATATTTATCTCTGTATCTTTAATGACAAGAAAGTTGTTGCAGTTACAGTTTTTAATGTGTTAAACTTGGCGCAAGGTTGATGTATTTTATTGTTAACTATCGCAGCTCTTGTGTGTCAGTAAGCCTTAAATCAATATGGGATTCGTGTTTCCGTGCGTATGTTTGTGTGTGTACTAGCTGTGCTTCCACCATTACCACAATATGTTATGCATGTAAAGTAGAACTTGGCCAACTGTTCACCAGGCCGCATTCATTGTCCCCTAGTTATTGAAACGGTTTAAAAAATAACATTAAGTAATACTCTATCTATTCAGTAAACTAAGCAATGCGCATAGTCCAGTTTTTGAGGAAAGTTTTATTTTATGAAAAATCTGAATGCTCCACAACGTGACCGTAGTTTTATTTGAGTGTTGTTATGAAGTTCTGTCTGAGAAAATTGCAGATATTTTATATTGGCCGTAACTTTTAGTGGAGTCAGGTAGATGTCCAACAGCCCCAATCTCATGACGCCACCATACGTGCCACTAACACTCGAGTGTTAAATGATCTTAGTGGAGTCAGGTAGATGTCCCACATCCCCAATCTCATGACTCTACCGTACGTGCCACTAACACTCGAGTGTTAAATGATCTTAGTGGAGTCAGGTAGATGTCCCACATCCCCAATCTCATGACGCCACCATACGTGCCACTAACACTCGAGTGTTAAATGATCTTAGTGGAGTCAGGTAGATGTCCCACATCCCCAATCTCATGACTCTACCGTACGTGCCACTAACACTCGAGTGTTAAATGATCTTAGTGGAGTCAGGTAGATGTCCCACATCCCCAATCTCATGACTCTACCGTACGTGCCACTAACACACGAGTGTTAAATGATCTTAGTGGAGTCAGGTAGATGTCCAACAGCCCAAATCTCATGACGCCACCATACGTGCCACTAACACTCGAGTGTTAAATGATCTTAGTGGAGCCAGGTAGATGTCCCACATCCCCAATCTCATGACTCTACCGTACGTGCCACTAACACACGAGTGTTAAATGATCTTAGTGGAGTCAGGTAGATGTCCAACAGCCCAAATCTCATGACGCCACCATACGTGCCACTAACACTCGAGTGTTAAATGATCTTAGTGGAACACCTCACCTTTGATACGCTCCATGCTCCTACAGGACTGGAGTGCCCAGCCCTGGCATTTAGTAAGCAGTTTCTACAACTAAAAACTGTTCGGGGTCTAATCGGCTTAGGGTGACCTCTGACCCGTGACATTTTCTCCATGGGCCCGGCCCAACCTCGTTACAAACGGCGCTCGTTAAGATACGTTTTGTTAGCGTCTGGTCCTGGGGACACAAAGAAGGTAGTATAGCAACTCTCAGTTTTGTTAGGGTCTGGTCCTGGGGACACAAAGAAGGTAGTATAGCAACTCTCAGTTTTGTTAGGGTCTGGTCCTGGGGACACAAAGAAGGTAGTATAGCAACTCTCAGTTTTGTTAGGGTCTGGTCCTGGGGACACAAAGAAGGTAGTATAGCAACTCTCAGTTTTGTTAGGGTCTGGTCCTGGGGACACAAAGAAGGTAGTATAGCAACTCTCAGTTTTGTTAGGGTCTGGTCCTGGGGACACAAAGAAGGTAGTATAGCAACTCTCAGTTTTGTTAGCGTCTTGTCCTGGGGACACAAAGAAGGTAGTATAGCAACTCTCAGTTTTGTTAGCGTCTGGTCCTGGGGACACAAAGAAGGTAGTATAGCAACTCTCAGTTTTGTTAGGGTCTGGTCCTGGGGACACAAAGAAGGTAGTATAGCAACTCTCAGTTTTGTTAGGGTCTGGTCCTGGGGACACAAAGAAGGTAGTATAGCAACTCTCAGTTTTGTTAGCGTCTGGTCCTGGGGACACAAAGAAGGTAGTATAGCAACTCTCAGTTTTGTTAGCGTCTGGTCCTGGGGACACAAAGAAGGTAGTATAGCAACTCTCAGTTTTGTTAGGGTCTGGTCCTGGGGACACAAAGAAGGTAGTATAGCAACTCTCAGTTTTGTTAGGGTCTGGTCCTGGGGACACAAAGAAGGTAGTATAGCAACTCTCAGTTTTGTTAGGGTCTGGTCCTGGGGACACAAAGAAGGTAGTATAGCAACTCTCAGTTTTGTTAGGGTCTGGTCCTGGGGACACAAAGAAGGTAGTATAGCAACTCTCAGTTTTGTTAGGGTCTGGTCCTGGGGACACAAAGAAGGTAGTATAGCAACTCTCAGTTTTGTTAGCGTCTGGTCCTGGGGACACAAAGAAGGTAGTATAGCAACTCTCAGTTTTGTTAGGGTCTGGTCCTGGAGACACAAAGAAGGTAGTATAGCAACTCTCAGTTTTGTTAGGGTCTGGTCCTGG